GCAAAAAATACACTTTTATCTGAGTTATTTATCTCAGTGACTAAATGAAAGTCTTTGTCTAGGCATCTCTTTTCAATTTCACATAAATGAATTCACTCGCTTTGGTTCCACATATTGTATTAGGCTAATTTATCACAAAAAAATGCAAAATTATTCAGTACATGCAAGCTTACTGTTGTGGTGGCATAGACCCACCCTGGACCAACCCCCCCCCCCCCCCCCCCCCCCCCCCCCCCCAAGGATGGCCCCTGGTCTGAGCTGTCACCTGCTGATCAAAGCCTTCAGAAGACACAATCTTTTACTTTTTTAATCCAAAAGACAAAAATCTTTCCAAAGTTTCAGGCCTTTCAGTGTGTTTTCTGTTATGTTTATAGTCTATATCCTTCATGTTTGACAATCAGCCTCTAGCATCTGCCCCTCTTCATTTACACACTCTGAAAACTATTTTGACCCTTCTTGACCAGAACACCCGTGTAAAGCTGACTTTAAAAAGAAAAACTCGCCATCCATTTTTTTGCCTACACCAGCCTGAAAACGAGAAATGTAACCCACAGCCCCATGTGTACAGAAACTCATTCTCGCCCTTGCAGAAGACAGAAACAAGAAGGAAACAATGACCCAGCTCTTGGGCTCAGATGAAATCGAAGCACCCAGTCAGGCATGTAATAATCTCAGCAAACAGCTGTGGAAACATCTATATGCTGCACCTTTTGCTCCGTTGATATAAAATTTAACAGCAAACAGAATGTTGAAAAATCTGAGAAATTGGAAATCTCTTAAATACGCAATGAATTTTTAATGGCTGTAAAGTGTGCCATGAGGCATTACCATCCATGTAATTGTCCAGGCTAATAAACAAAGACTGTCTTGTAATTTGTCCATAGAGACAAGCTCATCATAGTCCTTGAGGAGTGGATTCAGCAGTGATTAAGAAGTCAGAGCAGAAAGTGGTGGATGCCTATACATTATTAACAATGTCTGGCCTAATCAAAAGTCTCAACACTGCAAATCAAACGTCTGAGCCAGACATCACACCTTGCTGACAGAGGATCTCCCTCTGGATGCAGCTAATTTTAGACTCTGTCCTGAATCACAGTTGAGATTTTGTTATGTTAACGGTACATTATTTAACTTATAAAACCACCTTGTTAGGGTGGCTGCTGTATGGAGCTCCAGTTACATTAAGTAAATGAAGCTTTGATGATGAAATGTAAAGAACAGCTTTTATTGTTTGCTTTGACCTGCTTAATGAAACTTGTCATTCAAAAAGTCCAAACTCCATTGTTTAATTAGAAATCAGTCTGTGGGCCTTAAAAGTTGCCATGTCTGTGTTCTTCTTTACAAAAGAAATTTACAACATTGTGGAGTACTTTACAACAGACACAGAATGGCATTACGGCACAAACTAAACTGCGGTATTGATAACTTTAAAGAACTTTTGATCATAAAATATTCTAATAAATGCCATACTAACCAATTTTTAATTAATTAGAGTCACTTAAAACACGACGGCAAGTCTGATCACGTAAAAACAAAAGAGTCACTTTCCATTTCCTGTTCTCAAGTTCCGCGTGATGTGACAATCCGACAATCACGACTTTCCAAGAAGCGCTCAGCGGCGCAGCACTTCCTGTGTGACCATTTGACTTCCCAAAACCACATCTATCTCCGGTGTGCCCCAGGCTTAAATCTCCTCCTCTTTCGGTCGGCCGACAAAATGAATGCAAGTCAATGTGGCTAAAAGAGCTATTTTCTAATCCTCTTTGTCTTAGGCCCTGGATCACATATATTGTACTTCAATTTAAATGAAAACTAATGATGGGTGTTTCGACCACGCCAGTTACTTACTTTGATATTTATCAGCGTGTAAAAGTTTGTAATTAGCATAACTACAAATCAGACAATGGCACATCGGATACATGACATCACCACAGAATCTCCTCTTCTCTAGCGTGGCTACTTACCACACGGCCAGATTTATGGTTCTGTCCTCCTGAAGGGAGGATTTTAAGTACAGTCACTTTCCCTCTGTTTTTCACAAAGTCTGGTTCAATCGTGTCACTTTTGTAAAGCGCATTTGTAGTCCAGGACTTATTTTCACACAAAACCTGAGTCATCACCAACGCAGCCGCCCCGTTGGAGGCATGTGAGGCCTTACTTGTTGCTTGTTACTACTGTAAACAGCACGCTCAGGGTCATCCTTGCAACTTAAATTAATCTATTATTCATTTGATCGGTTTTATTTCACAATTAGTAAATCATTGCTGTGTTGTGGGGTGACACTCGTGATCGCCAGGGGAATAAAGGTGGAATACATGCTAACGTTTCACCGTTTTCCTGCTTAGAGGCAAAACTACGGAGACCAAGTATCTCTAGCATAACAAAGTCTTGTTGGCTCGCTTGGATCACAGCTATAAGGCGACCAAACATCACCTCGCAGAGTATTTTTATTCTGGTAATTTACAGATGGTGTACATTTTTTATTCATCGTTTCTTTCTTTCAACCGCGACATGCACACGAAACACACACACTCGCACACAGACACACAGAGGCTACACACACATACCGGTGAGCTAATGCGGGTGCGCTGACACACAACACAACTTCTCTAGCTCCACTTCTTCTGTGGGATGACAATTTTGATTGTTTCACTAGAAAAACCAACAAATAAAGCAATTACCTCTCATCCGGATGTTTACATCCGCCCACACCACAAACATAAAAGGTGAAAATGTCCATTATGCAGAACTGCAGGAGCAACAATATGTCATTGGTGCTTCGGTCTTGGGTTTTTCATTAGGATCAAAACCATTTTTAACGCAGATTTTGTCCACATACCGGTTCCCAACATCTTTATAATAACGTATCCCTGTATATTCCGCATCCCTTTGGGGATTTTATAATCTTGTTTAACACTTCCTTTCATCGAAATCCGCTTCTTCTCTGCGACAGTACCACTTGTTTCAGGGTTTGTTTACACACGTCAACTTTCCAACATGGCCGCGCACATCCCAGAATGCTATGCGTAATCACATGATCACAAGCCCTATTGACTTGCATTTTTTTGTTCTTCCGAGGCATCGACATAAATATATGGACAATGGGTTTCCATAGACTCAAATAACAAGTTTTTCTGCTAAAATGGGAGGTGGCCACCACCGCCATTTTGACTGTGTCACAGGTTCCGTCAAGCCCAGACAATTCCATAAAAGGGAAGAGAGGAGGAGCTGAGGGTGGGGCTGTAAAGCTGGGATCGACTGACGACACCCGGTCGAACTAGTTACAAGCTAACCTGAAGCTAACCCAAAGCTAATGCGGAGGTGGGAGCTAAGCTAACGGAGGTAGCAACCTAGCTACAACCAGAGTTAATTGTGCACAACACCAGAGCTTCTGACTGAGTCAGAGATACGCCAGGCTGACCGCTGGGTAAAACCGGGTGGAAAACAGAGGTCTCAGAGACTTCCACAAGCCGGCAGCTGCACAGCAGACAAGCGCCGCTGCGATCTGAGATGCGCAGAGCTGCCGCTGGGGAGAACCGGGTGGAAAGGTTTCCATCCCAGAGCTCCACAAGCCGTCAGCCCGCGCAGCACACAGAAGCCGCGATCAGACAGATGCGCCGAGCTGTTGGGAACCAGCCGTCAGCCCGCGCGCAGCAAACAAGCCGCGATCAGACAGAGATGGACCGGGCTGCGGGGAGGGGATAAGGGTGGAAAACATTGGTCTCCCGAGAGCTCCACAAGCCGATATTCGGAACCCAGCTCCACCAACTTCTTATATTTCAACCCATTTTCTAAAGTGCAGCATTATGTTAAATGCACTGGGTTTTACCCTTTTACATTTAAATGTCATGGTTAAACAGTACATGTTAAAATCTAAGCTCAGCTCGGCAGTGACCTAAAATACATAAATATAATTTTACTTACCGAAAAAAATGAAGTGGAGACTCCTTGGACGTTCTATTAGTGCAATTAATGCCACATCAAGTCATTTTGTCCAACAATTGCACAAAAAATATCCATACAAGAATACACACACACAGAGACTCAAAATCCCGGAGCAGTTTCCAAGCCAGGCCGAGGCTCTACTGAGGCCTTTCCACGGAGCTAGCTCTGCGGTCACGTGGGTCGGATGCTGATTAATTATACAGAATTTTAGGCTTTTAATACACTTAAACAGAAGAGTGAGAAAAAAATTCACCCCCCTCAGAGTTGTCATGAGTGTAAACTAGACAATTTAAACAAAAAACATGTTTTGGTACCAGGCTGTAAACAAGTTTATTTCTGCTGTGAAATTGGTATTTTTAACATGAGAGTCTATGAGGATTTGCTCGTTTCTGACAGCAGCCCCCAGCAGATGAGCGTGGAACTGCAATTTATTTCACTTCCGAGTTTGACTCATTTTCAGAGCTGCATTGTGGGGGCCTGTTCCGAGGACCCATGGTCCGGAAGTAGGCGTGCTCCCTCCAATATCAGATTTTTTTTTGTGTTTATTTTTTTTAATCCATCAATCAAACAGTCAAAGACATACAAATATGGAAAATAAAATAAAAATGATGTAATACATACACAAGAGAATATCAGATTTCTTTTCTAATTTCCCTGGTTGTGATGTCACATACAAGGATTCTTTTTAAAAACAAGACAGCTTTTATTAGGCAGATAATTCCTAAAACCAAACACTGATAGAATTGGGATAAACATTTTTATCCCATGAGGAATAAACAAAGTTCATCTTCTTAATTAATAAAGTTAAAAAAAGTTTCTGCCAACTGACTAATTATTTTTCCTAATTACGTGTTGTGTGGTGAACTACAAAGTGGTAAGTTGCTAGCCTAGTGAACTAGACCAAATTCTTGCTTTGCAAAGTTTTAAATAATACATTTATTTAGTCTGGCTTGCCAGGCTATTAAGTTGCCTCATCTGAAGTCAGTTTCCGCTTTGTTTCAAATTTCCCGATGCTCCTGAACGTGTCATTTGCTCATGCGCCGCGCGGTCATCTGACGCGCACTGTGGCAGCCAGCCGCTGTGCTGTTCCCGCACAGAGTCCCCAAGAAGACGCTCCTCCTGTAAAGCAAACATTTGAATTCACCAAAGCATTTTGTCTAAAGGTGAATTCGCTGCAAGAGCACCCTAACGCTTATTTTGGTCCGGAAGCGGTGAAGATCTGTGTTTTTATTAGTATTTAGGTATTTTTTGTGGAAATGTCGCCAGCAGCGCGAGAGTAGGGCTGGTGTAATCGCCTGGTGGTGGCTGCATGGCTCTTCCAGTGATGCCACGAAAATCAGAGCAGCGGAGTGGCTGAGGGAGACCGCTGCTCATCGTTGGATCACAGCGGCGGCGGTGAGCGATGGATACGGATGGACAGACCCACATTAGGTAGCGTTTACGAGGATCCAGGGAGAGCAGAACATCTCTGTCGCGTAGTGTAGTTGCCTCCGGAGCTGTGGAAAGGATGGATTTCAGCCTGCTCCGGAATATCATCAGCAGATACGTAAGGGCCACCATCTGTCAATACTGTCACGACTGATGTGTAATATGCTGCAGTGTTTATTATAAATAATAATAATAATGTGGCGGGCATGCAGAAATACAATAACTTCTCTGCCCTGGGGCTTTTGCTTTGGCAGGCGTTTAGCTGTTTGTTTTTATGGTGTTCAATGGAGAATGTACCAGCAGCCACAGTAAGGACATGTGAAACTGTTGAATAGAGATGAACTTTACTGGACCAACTAACTGACCAATAACACGTGCACACGTGACAGAGTCCAAACATTCCTACTATTTTGTCCCATAGGGATTTAATGCAATTTGTGTGAGCTCATTCCCAGATGGCTAGAATCTCACTTACAAAACATAAACTTAATAACAGGTCTTGGTGGGAACAACAGCTGTCAAGTGTTTGTGATCCTTGGTAATGAGTCCCACGTGTCATCGTAGAGGACTTTTGGACAAATGAATAAGCTAATTTTGTCCTGTGAAAGACATGCCGAAGATGAGAGGTTGGACAGAGTTGGAGCAATCCCATCAACCTAACGCTGCAACTGTTCTTTTCCTTAAATGCATTGTTCGTTTTACTCCAGGTGTAACAGGACAAAGACCTCTGCCTCATCAGTAAACAAAACATTTTCTCAAAGGACTTGAAGATCCTCTAGATTGCTGTCTGATGTTACCAAAAACAAAGTTTTGAGCCTTTGATTCGGAACCTTGAATTGTGACCTGACCATAAACCTGCAGTGCTTAGCATTTTGCTCTGGGGTTATTTGTTCTTTAATTTGTTTAGAACAATGCACAATGTGTCTAGCTTGTTAAGATCTTTTAGCCTCAGGTGTAGGCAACCCCAGTCCTTGAGAGCAACTATCCCGCATATTTTAGTGGTTTCCCTGCTCCAAGACACCTGATTTAATGGTTGAATCAAACCATTGAATCACGCTCTGCATAGCCAGGCCTGCTAATCACCTGCTGATTAAAATCAGGTGTGCTGAAGCAGAGATACCTTTAGAAGTTGCATTTGTAATATTAAAACAGGAATTATTAAACAATGACTTGAATAGTGCTTCAAGTTATGCTGCTCTTCTGCTATCTTGTTGGCATAGAACCCATTGGCGTTGTACGTACCGCGGGTAGTAAACTACGTCCTTCCAGGTTAAATCGGTGGGTGTTTTTACAACATGACGCAATCATAACTGTAGACCCAGTAAGCGCTTTTGTCAAACCACTCGGAAATACAAAATAATGTTCGAAGCCTCATATCGCTGATAGAACAGAGACATCTTGATCATAAACTGTCTTTTTAGATCCATAAATATCCAGTTAATGTACTCTAATAAAATAGTTAGTGCACAAGTCATATCTTCAAAATTGAACATAATATACAGTTGGATACCTTTGAATATTCCTTCAGATGCATCTCTTTCTTTCAAAGTTTTTATAAATTCTGTTGGCATCCTGATATTAGCTTGGCAATGTTGATTTCCATCTTAACTGAACCAGTAGATGGTGGCTTAGTCTTTCTGAGGCAAAATCTTCAGTTATTGGTCAATAGGTCAGAAGTGCCACTACCTATTCTTACATGTGTTGTGCTCAGACCATTTGCGGTGCAGTATGTTGTTGATTGATGCATCAAATAGAAAAATGATATTTGTAAAACAATGAAGTCTCACACAGGCGAGTTTGTGATACAACCTTGCGTTTTGCTTCCTTAAGCTAATTAAGAACCATTGCGATTGGCGGATCACACTGAACAGTAGAAAAGAACGTGTAGAGTTAATTTGCCTTCAGCATCACAACAGGACCTGCAATGTCACGATCGTGCACTCGTACATTGCGATGTTGATGCACAAACGTAACATCACTCAGCTCTAGATCATTGTGATTTAGAGCTGCATTAGCAAATTTACAGAACAAGCTAAGTTTTGAACACAAATACTTACAGAACACTCACCCCTCCCCTTGGGTAACTTCCCTGAGATGCATCCACCGCAACCAGAAACCTGCATTGCCTGAGGAAACACGGGAGTCCTAAACACCAGTCGATGTTTTCGATGTCCAAATATATTTTGTTGTCCGTGCCTTCAAATGGTGTTTTTCCTTTTGGAACTCTGGTAGTTTGTCCTAAAGTTGAAGTGGCAGCAGCGGACTGTTTCTCCTTCTCTGGTATTATTGAGCGGAGAACCTCACATCAGTGGTGTTCTGCTGCTAAATGCATGCGTGCATAATGAGTGGAAGACCCATGGAAGTGCGTAAGTAAAGCCGGGCGTACACTGTGCGACTTTTTCACTTTTTTGAGCCGATTTTCCAGTCGTGCGAGAATCCACGACATCGGGGCGAGTTTTGCGCCGAGCGGTCGTGTAGTGTACAGGGGGTTACGAGAGGCGATTAACACCACGTGACCAGCTGCCGATCAGCAGTCGTGAGGTCGCACGGACTTCTGGCGTGTTTAATATTTTGCTCGCCCCTCGTGAGGGTATCGCACTGTTGAAGCGGCGCTGCGAGCAGCTGCGACCCAAAAAGTATCAGAACCGCTCACGGCGCATGCGCAATCCTGCATCAACGCCGCTCGCTATTTCCCTAATAACACACGCTGTTCGTTTTTGTTTCTACACGTTTTTTTTACTCACAAAGATTGTCAAGAAAGCACGTTTGTCGTGTTCATGTCAAATTAAACTGATCACAAAACACAGATTTACTTTATTTTGTTTTCCTCATCCAACCCCCATAAATCCCTGTGTGTCCTCCTGCAGCACTCCCGAAGGACAACAGGCAAAACAAGACCAAAACGTCTGACGTGTTGAGTAAAAACTGCTATCTTTAGCATATTTTTAGGGCCGACGTGTTGCTACCAGACGTACAGTGTGAGCAGTCAGGTCGCATCCGAGAACTGGGTCGTGCAGTGTGAGCGCCTGACTCGTGAGATCTGCCCTGCGAGGAAGTCGTACAGTTTGAGCTGAAGCTGAGTGCTACGAGTGAAAAAGTCGCACAGTGTACGCCCGGCTTTAGAAACCGACAACCAGATGGTCCAGTAGTTGCTTTCTGTCTGAGCCGTGTTATTGGCAGAAGTTTTTAGACAAATGCAAGAGAACCACATTATTACAGTTTTTTTTTCATCTCTACTATGTATGTATGGATATACTATGTTAGAAGGTTGTTAAGCGGCATGAAAAAAGGTTTTAAAAGGAACGCCAGCTATGAGGATGTTTGTGCCCTAATAAGCCACAAGTTTTCTGTTGTACCAAACATTGTTAGAAATACACAAAATATTGCTGTTTATTTATAAATCTATAATATTTAGTAAATTTTTTACATACGTAGGACGCCATGTTTTCCACATGCAATTAGGGTTGGGCATCATTTGATTTTGAATTATTCAGATTCTGATTCCTCCTTTCAGTTCTGGTCCCCATCGATTCCCGATTCGGATTCTTTCAAGACATGACATGTTTTAGGCCTAGTCCACACGTAGCCATTTTAAAAAAAAACGAATATCCGCCCCTCCAAAAACTTGCATCCACACCACCTTGTTTAAAAAAAAATCTGTCCACACGTACCCGGATACATACGTTGTTAAGGACATGCCAGACCTGTAGGCGGCAGTACTTCCCCCGTTCTTAACCTCGTCCTTCGTCTGTGGTGTTCCTCTAGGAGCAGTAATTCCACTTGCAAAAACAAACAAGCAGAAAGCGCTTGGACACTTGATAAAGCGAGTGCAGCTCTGAGGGCATCCATGCTGTCGGCTATTGTAAACACAGGTCGCACATGTGATGTCAACATTTTTTGTTGCGGAAAGTGACGTTGCGGACCTTAAAACTCCGGTTTTGTCTGTCCACACGCAGACACCCAAAACGGAGAAAACGCAGATGTTCACTTTGGCCGGAGTTTTTAAAAAGATCCGTTTTCGTGTGAAAAAAATCAGTTTTCGTGTGGATAACAGGCCAAAACGTTGAAAAATATCTACGTTTTGGCAGATCCCTGGCTACGTGTGGACAGGGCTTTAAATAAGCCAGCTAACCACAGGCCCTACTTAATGAAATAATCTTAACTTCAACAGGAATTTTAATTCTATGAACAATGACATCACTTTCATTTAGACAAAAACATGTTGTCATGGATTTTATCAATATGTTTATCAATAACCCATTTCCTATAGTGAAGAGAGAAGGAGACAATGAGCAGACAAGTCAAACAGTTATAACTGTGGCATGATGCACGAGGCTAAATGCCCCGAACATCCGGTCACAGAGTTTATTTATACCAAGAGAGAGAGAGAGATTGTGTGTGTGTGGGAAGTCAAGAGTGTGTGTGTGTGTGTGTGTGTGTGTGTGTGTGTGTGTGTGTGTGTGTGTGTGTGTGTGTGTGTGTGGGTGTGCCATGCAAAGAGGCATAGAGCAATACATTTACATTCAGTTGACTGAGTCCGTGATCAAGAGTTAATAAACATAAATTTTTCCATAACACATGTTTTGGAGAAAAAAAGACTTGCAGGACAACCAGTGTGTTTGTTTCTGACAACAACCAAAGTCTGGAAGAAGCCTCTGGGATGAGAGGCTAAATGTCTCCAGCATATCCAGAAACGTCCAGCTGTTTTCAGCTAAAACTCTCGGGATGATCATGTCCAGGATGACTGAGGACTACACCTCCATGCTGCAGCAGCGTTCAGTCAGAAAGCAAAACTTAAATGTAGCTGCTGTCAGTAACAATATAACAGATTTTAAACATTAAAACTCAACAGAAATAGTTCAGAAAGGAAATTAAAATGTTCACAACTTTGTGTGTGATTTATTATTATTATTTTATTTATGTATTTATTTATTTATTATTGTTTTTTTATTGTGGCAGAAGCTGGTGTGGTCCGCCACAGAGAAGCTTCTCTAGCATGATGACTTTTAATTATTCTACAGGTTATTGTTATTATTGTAGCCTTCTGACGCTCACACACTCGAGTGTTGGTGAGCGGCTGCAGCTGACTGCTGATGCTCCGTGTGTGTTTTTATTTCTGCAGTGAGACAAACTCACCTCACACCGTCCAGAGATTGTCCTTTAAAGCTTCTATTAAAGAGCAAGTAACGTCTAAATTAACTTTTTTTTGCTGATGAACTGTATAAATGAGTGTCTAATAGTGTTTTAAATGTGTGTATTCATTATTTTAGCATTTTGGTGCATTTTCTTAAAAAAATAAAAATTCTGCCTAAATACCACAGTATAGCTCCACCTTCAGCTTAAAACATAGAATTTGACTCATTTTGAATAAATTTTAGCCAATGGCTAAAGAGTAAGATACTACGTAATCCAGTAGAGTACTACGTAGCAGCTCTGTGTCAACGTTATAAAAGCATCGGGAGTCTCGGCCACGCCTTGTGGCGAGTTGGGAGTTGGATTTGCATGAGAGTGTAGGAGGCTAGCCGTAGTTCAGCATTAGCATATAGCATTAGCATATCCTAGTCTTTAGCATAGCTTTTAGTGTTATACATACTTATTTAGTGTTAGCTTGGCGTTTGGATATTGTAGTTTAGTTACTGTTTGGCTGTTAGTGTAATTAGGAAAGTAGTTCGGGTTTAGTGCTCCATATCGTGTTAGAATGGTGAGATGGTGTAGTGTAGTATGGTTGCGGAGCTCTGTCGGGTTGCACTCCTTTCCGCTGGACTTAGAAATTAGGCGCCAGTGGTTGCGTGTCTGGAAAAGATTCAGCTCCCGCCTGGTGCTGTAGTTTGCAACCAGCATTTTACCCGCGATTCTGCACGTCTCCGTTCCAAGAGGGAGGCTGTGCCCACCGTGGCTCTTCCGCGATTTAGATGCAGCCCACCGACTCTGCTCCCCCACCATGACGGGCTACAGTCTGAGGTGAGTAAGCTAAATAAAAGTTTTAACATCTTCTAAAGACAATTTCCTACCTAAATGCAAAGTTTGAGAGACGTGGTTCACTCCATTTAGCTAATATCAGTCTGCACTGCCTTCGGGCTGATTTGTCAAGTTCACAAAATGTGGAACGGGATGTAAGGTTAGAATCAGCGGCGAATCGGAACATATCTCGAAGCCCTGGCCGACAAAACGGTCCACATGACTGTCAGGCTCAGAGAAAATTCGGGTTGTTTTTGTGTCAGTCGGTAATTCAGCAACAGTGACTCTAAACTGACGCAGCACTAGTTGACAGACAGCATTACAGCGTGAAATCTAGCACAGCGTGACCCGGTTCCGTGAGGAATTCTGTTCAGGAGGTCGCATTTCAGGGTCTCCACATCATATGTGACTGACTTTTACTTTATAATAACATCACACACTAGGAATGTTATAAAGCGCCTATATGGGACAGTTTCTTTTGTATTTTATCTGACTTTATAAACATCAATGTGCTTCTATTTTTTTTCAGGCTAAATCTACCCAAGACACTGGCTGTCAGACTGATTTAGTAATCTGCAAGAATGCACTTGTCCAGGCTGACGTGGTGTTACCCGTAGCAAAGGTGAATTATTTTTAATAATCTTCTATGTAAACATTTTATTACCTTCTAGTTTTAATTTGTTTTACAGATTGTTACAAGTGATTTTATGCTCTTTTAAACATTTATAAATGTGCTGCTTCTTTGTTTTTATAGAGCTCACAGCCTCAGTGTCTTGTGACACAGGGACCATGACAGAAATTCATCTTCCAGAAGGTCCCAGAGCATCCACACCTCCTGAAAAGACCACGGTGTGAGGTGTCTGCTGTTGATTCCAGCTTCCACCTCAGTGACAGTGCAAGCTCAGTTAACTGTTCAAGGTAAAAAAAAATTAAAACATTTCTGAATTTTTAAGATATTAACAATTAAATAAGTATGTGATTACATCATGAAGGAGGCTACTGATTCTGGCCCTGTGACACTTGGTGGTCACCACCAGGTGGTGACGTGTGAGCTGATTCACCTGGTAAATAACTTTTAAATTAAATATTTTGTTTTTGCTATCAAAAGTAAATTAACTAATAACCTGCATTACTGCAGGACACTCAGCAAAATATGGACTCTACACCATGAGGCAGGCACACGTTAATAACTCTATAAGAGCACATAAGGTAAGCAACACCACATATTATTTTTATTACTGTACACTGTCCTGGATTTGTTTTCTTTCTGCATGATTTGTTTTCTTTCTGCATCTCATCATTAGCCTGGCTGATCACCTGATAACTCCTGTCATCTGGTTATGACAGCATGAGGATGTCCTCACACACCTGTAACCTATCAGCTCATCAGGCAGAATAGAGAGAAGAGACAACACCACATCTCCTGTTCCTGGAAAGCCTTCAGCCTTCCTTCGATGACTGAGAACCTCCATCAGCTCTGTCTCCTGTCTGCCTACAATTATTATAATAAATATTGTGTTTGACAAGTTTTTTGTGCTGCCAAATATCTCATTTTGATTCCAGTTTTGATATTTTAATGGATATTTATAAATTACATTAATTGAATTATCACATTGTCGCATGTTTAACTAGCTCTATTGTGATTAACTAAACTAGCACCTCACTGTTAAAAGCTCGTTTTAATTTCAAGCATGTTTAAGTATTTATGGACATGAACAAAAACAGGAAATATATAAATTGAGATTTATTTAATTAATATAACAAATAAGGGGGAAAGAGTCATTGAAAGGCACATTCTTCTGGAAGTTCCTGATCCTGAAGACACCAGCAGGAGACCAGCTGCAGACACCAGAGGATCACCTGCAACCAAGAGCAGCTAGTATCAGTAAATAAATAATGAAATCAGGGCAGTTTTAATGGGCTGAACACATTACAGAATAATTCTCTCATGGTATATTTTCATAACTTTATGCAGCAGACTAGCTTGAGCCCAGATCTCCTGGAGAGCTGCTATCCAGCACGTTTCAGTGGATTTTCCTGCTTTAACAGGTTAGATAAGCTGTTAAGCAGCTCAGCTGTTTGTTGCTGATTAAAACCAGGTGTGTTGATGCAGATAAATCTCTAAAACATGCTGAATACTAGCTTTTTAGGGCCATGGAGACAAACCCTGCAGCTAATCCAATGCTATGGCTAACGGCTACTTACGTTCAGAGATGGGTCTGTTGGGTCGGTTCCAGTAATTTCAGGCAACTCACAAGCTCAAAACAATAAGGCTCATGTCCGGTTGTCTCCTCCAAATAGACTTGGTCCCTTTCTTCTCGAGTGTCTGGGTAAGGAGGGGGAGAAACGTCCTCCACTTCTAATGACTGCTCAGAGTGAAGGGAGCTAGCTTCGTCTAGTTAGCCGTCTCTTCGTCACTGCCACGGCTCCGCCCTCTCGGTCCTCCAGGCAACGCCTACTAATGTTGCAGTTTTCAAAATTGATACGTGGGTGGGGTAAGACTCTGAGGCACACTTGACATGCACTTTAAATCCACCGTGTTGACATATTTTAATAAGTTTCCTCTACGCTGCAGGAGTTAAAGTTTACATTACAAAGTAAAAGTTTGGCAGACGCGTTTGTTTATATTTGGCCGCTGCGTGCCGGGTGGGGGTAGAAGGGACTCGGTGCTACACACAGACAGCTGGTGTGGTCAGCTCTGAAAAGCGTTGATCACAATTTTCAGATCACGTTTATTATTCACGGAGATTGGCCGCGGATTCTTCTTCTGGTCGGTATTCTAGGAATCAAAACTAGGAATAGAAATAAAAAACTTTGAACGATTCCGGGAAAAACTAACAGTTGGTCCCGGTTCCAATCGATGCTCAATTGACCCTACGCAATGCACTCTGGGGTCGATGACATATATTGGTTGAATAGCTATTGATGCTAGTGTTTGTTTATGCACTCGCCATATTAATAATTAAGTAAAATGCTGCATTGTACGGCTTTTGGATGTAATCTCCAGTCAGAGGGCAACAAGGGGGTGATGTGAGTTTACGCTTTCCCACTGGCAAGAAGAGGAGAAAGCAGTGGGAAGGTGCTTGTGGACGGACACAACTTCTCAAAGATCCGCAGCTGTGTTCCCAACATTTTTCTCCTGTGGCGTTTGAGGCTTAAAGTCGACCACAACTACGTAAAGAGCTTACCAGAGCGGCTGGGTATAAGAGAAGGTGGAAACTAAATGCTTTATCGAACATTTTCCCACACAAGGAGCCTAAACATGCTCGGAGAGACAAGAGACGCTGGACGTTCTCCTGAGCCGACAACCCGCTCCTGCGGCTGCCGCTTCTGTCGTGTTCGGCGAACCATCGGACGACCTATGAGTTAAACTATTTTTACAAATATTATAAAAATGAAGACTCTAAGAAGTTTTTTACACCACGTTAATATAACTGATATTAACAATTATCTTTTAACTCATTCATCGCCAGCCGTTTCCTGATCGTTAACGGCCTTCGCTGCCAGCGTTTCTCACCGTTTTTACTGTTTTTTTAAGAGTCACAGAACGTTGAGCGCTAGCATGATGTCGATGCCAAAACAACCTAAACAAAGAGGAGACTCAACTCTTACATCAGGAAGAAGCCGTGTGTTTCGAGCGTTATCCGTTCTTTCATAATCCGTTGTCAAATTGTGATCGGCAGACGCTTTTCCGGTTCGCGCCTCACTTTTTTTACAGGAACGGCCCAAAACGATCTCCAAACACATGGATGGTCTGCTCCCTGATCATGTGATCTGTGACGTATGCGGATGAAGATCGGCTTCAGGGCTGAGATATTTGTTCTCTCAGCGCGGGGGCTCGGTCCAATGCTCAAACAGTAAAAAAAATGCAAATGACGACTTTAGTCGTCATTGGCAGTGAATGAGTTAAGAACTGCAAAATTTTGTTACCTGGGTTCCTTTTAAGCAAATTTGTTTTCCAAACTTGCTATAGTAGCTTTAACAAGCGTACGGCTTTTCACATGGGTTTAAGCTGGTTCGAGTTGCCTTCTCCCCTCATTAAATAAAATCGTCATTGTAAAACTGCATTTTGTTGTAGTTCAAGTGTGATGTTGAAATGTGTTTGCTCATGTCAAACATTTAAGTGTGATAAATCAGAATCAGAATAAGCTTTATTGCCAGCGCTCCAGCGACCCAGAGCATAGGAACTTGACTCCGCAAAAAAGTATAAACAAGAAATCTGTAAGCTCTGTACCCCTAAACTGGTTGGCTGAGTGTGTCGCTGCCGTCTTCAGCCTCTGGTTACCTGGAAGGACAGGAAGCACCTGATGGGTGATTGGCTAACAGTAGGGCTGGGCGATATGGACGAAAACTTTTATCTCGATATTTTTTAGCTGATTTCCGATGTACGATATACATCTCAATATTTTTCCTACTGTAAAATATTTGTAAGTTAACTCACTTCAAGCTGTCTTGAGAAATTATATACATACATCAGTAGATTAAATGCATAAAAATGTATTGATACTAGTCAAACTATAACCTTAGTGCCTATTCTCTATACCAGTCTGAGCTTTAGAAACACTGGTACAGCTGTCTGTTAACACACACACACACACACACACACACACACACACACACACACACACACATTTGAGAGCTAGACGTGTGTCAAATGTCCCACAGGCACTTTTTATTTATATATTTATAATTAATGTAAAATTGTTTAAATTTCATCTAGAGGTGGGCCATACCGTTGATTTCTTTTCCAGAGGGAAAAAACATCTATCATGTTAAACTAAATGTATGATGATGTAATTGCATCTACTGAAGATCACATGGGTCATGCACCGTGGAGTTATTAGTTATCAGGACAAACATGGCTGGAGTCTAACAGTATTGGCTCATATCAGCGATTATACCGTAATGATTCAGTCTCTGGTTGCTCTTTTAAGTGTATTATTTTCATGCTACTGTCGCCGTAACCCACGCCTTACAAACTCTTAACTTTTTCAACAGAATCACTCGTAACGGAGTATTTACTAGCATAGCTAACCAGAGCGGAAAACAACGGAACCAGAACAACATTTCTCACCTACTGAGCTCGCCTTCAAAATAAAACGTTAACCCTACAGTTTACTTTTCTAACCCTTAAAATACGTTTGAGGTAATTTGGCCACTCCGGCTATCCGTAGATGTTTTCTGATTTCACAGGGGAGGGAGGGGTTTGGCTCGTCTCCACACGAGCAGGATGGATAAACAGAATTCTGTTGGCGTTGAACGTCCCCAAATAATTAAAAACCAGGTTGCCAAATGCAAAGTTTCGAGCAGCACATTTACCCAGAGGCTCTCAGATTGAGCAAATTTGTGAGAATATACGTAATAACTGCTTAGAGACGGAGCAACATGTCGCTAGCATAGCGGCTAATCGCTAGCATAGCAGTTTGACCAGCTTTATTGATATAAAGATATGAAGTCATCTTATATCTTGTTTAAAAATTATACAGATATTTTAAAAATATCAATATATCGCCCAGCCCTAGCTAACAGTAATGCAACTTTACCACTGACTCTGTTTGCTTTGCAACGCTGATGTTTTATCTCCACAAATAACCCAAGTCTGAAGGAGTTCTGCCATGTTGTGGAGTTAGCATCTATTAGCCCAGACGTTCTCTACTCACTCTTGGACACTAATGCCACCTAAACACTAGCATCGGCGCCACTCCGCTCCGCCTGCCCCAGCCCGGCCTTTCGTTCCACACTGCCTTAGGAATGTGTGTGTGTGTGTGTATGTGTATGTGTATGTGTGTGTGTGTGTGTGTGTGTGTGTGTGTGTGTGTGTGCGTGCGTGCATGCGCCCGCCTCACAGCAGACAGACACAGAAAAACGGCTTCAGTCAGAGGCTTGTTAACTCCTCAGCGTCCAGAAGGATAATGAATCATGCTGGAAGCCCCCGCAGGCTGATTTATCTGCCAATCAGAGGCTCCCCCTAATGGTAGGCGTGTTTGTGAGCCGGCCAGTCAGTCAGCAGTGGACCAGTTCGGCTTCAGGCAGACCTCCTCAGGAAGAGGGCTGAAAAAACGTCCAGTTGGGCGTGGGAAAAGGCAGAGTGGAGCTGATGCTAGCGTGTAAGGGCCATGAACCAACAACAACCTTCCCTGTCACGAGCCAAGATGGGTGAACCCATGAATGCTAATTTTCAAAGTGACGTAGATCTGACTGGCTTTTCTGATCCGAGCATTTCCCTGCCTGTTTTACACCGGTGGATAATCCAGACAACAGAGCTACACTTTTTCATTTTCAACCTGTGAAACTCGGAGTAACCAATCGTATTTAACAAATAAAAATAACGGTTTCTCAGTGAACTTGGTCTTTAATCTAAGGTGGGTTTTTTTCTAAATTGAAGTCATGTGATGGTGGTCTACACCTCTAATTATGAGTGCTTTTTGTTGTTTGCTGGTCTTCTCTGAGTGGTCCTTCTTGTGTGTGATTATACTTAGTGACAGGGAGCTTGACTGATGCGTAACTGGAGATAACATCAAGGGAA